GTGGGGGCCCCCTGCAGGTGGCCCCCCAAGCCGTGGGGGGCCCCCTCTGGGGGCCCCTCTGGGGGCCCCCCTGGGGGGCTCCCGGGGGGCCCCTCGGGGGGCCCCTCTGTCTCCACAAACTGCTCATAAAATAGAGACTCTTCAACCAACAAAATAGCCAAAGCTGTCTCTCTTTCCTCCTCTTCAATTTCAGAAAGTGTGGGGCCCTGTGGGGCAGTACCCTGTACCCTTGCTGCTGCTTGGGGGCCCCATTTGTTGCAGCTAGGGTCCAGCAGGGGGCCCCCCCGGGTCTTGGGGGCCCCCGCGCGCCCCCCCGCTGTGCGCAAGCTAGGGACTAAGGCCCTCGGCGCGCGCTCCCGTGGCTGCTGCTGCTTCTGCTGTTGCTGCTGCTGCTGCTGTTTCTGCTGCTGCTGCAGGTGCTGCTGCTGCTGCAGCTCCTCTTCCATGACCTCCCTGATGCTGGTTGCTGCTGCTGCTGCGCCCGCCTTGGGGGGCCCCCAGGCCCGCCGCCCCTCAGCAAGGGCCCCCCGCGCCTCTGGGGGGCCCCCCTTTAGGGGGCCCCCCTCCAGGGGCCCCCCCTCGGGGTCCTGCCTCTCAGCCAAAAGGCTCTGCAGCTTTAAAGACGTTTTGCTGGGCCTTACCCGCACTAGGGCCTCCAAAGCCACCCTCATGGGGGCCGCCCTTGCTGCTGCTGCTGCTGCTGCTGCTGCCGGGGGCCCCTGGGGGCCTTCCCTTGCCATTCTTGCGGGAGGCAACGGGGGGCCCCACAAGGCCCCTGCTGGGGGGCCCCCAGGGGGGCCCCCCAAAGGGCTGCAGCGGGGCCCCACCAAAGAACTTTGGGGGGCCCTTAAATAAGGACTTTCTTGAGATCTGCTGCTCACTGTAGAGGAGTAGCTGCCTCCGCGGGGCCCCCGGGCGCCCCTAGCCTGCTGCCACTCGTCATCTGTGTGCTGCTGCTGCTGCTGCTGCTGCTGTGGGGCTTGCTGCTGCTTCGTCCTCTGCGGTGGACCCTGCTGCTGCAGCTGCTGCTGCTCCTGCTGGGGTGCTGCAGCAGCATAAAGTGCCGACGGGGCCCCTGAACTTGACTGTGGGCCCCCTGCTGTTTCTGGAAGCGCCCAAGGCGCAGCAGCTGACAGATGATCCTGTTGCTGTTGCTGCTGCTGCTGCTCCTGCTGCTGCCGCTGCTGCTCGGCGTGCTGTTGGTGCTGCTGCTTCCTTTGCTGCTTTTGCCTCCCCTGGTGCCGGGGGTCTTTATTTTGCGGCTGCGTCGACTGCTGCTGCTGCCTCTGCTGCTGCTGCTTCTGTTGCTGCTGCTGCTGCTGCTGCCCCTTTGAGTCCCTTGCGCGCATTCCCGCAGCAGCAGCTTCTGCTGCCTCTGTTGCTTCCCAGAGGGGCCCCTCTTCTAAAGCTAAAGTGCTGAGCCATTGATCCCTTGGGGGCCCCCCTGGGGCCCCTAAAAGGGCCCCTGGGGGTCTTGAGATGCACCCAAACACAGGAGGCAGGGGGCCCCCCAGGGAAACCCCCACAAGGGGGGCCCATCCCTCAGGGGGGCCCCCCTCCTGGGGCCCCCCATTTTGGGTACGGTAGAGAGGGGAGTCCCCATAGATATCTGCTTCAGCAACAAAGGGCCCCTCAGGGGGGCTCCCCAGGGCCCGAGGGGACCCTGGGTCGCTGCTGGGGGCCCCCCTGAGGGCCCCCTTATCTGCTAGCTGCGCCAGCAGCAGCTGCATGCCTGCTGCAGCAGCGCGCTGCAGCAGCAGAGGGCGGTGGGGGTGCTGAGTCTGCTGCTGTTGCTGCTGCTGCTGCAGCTGCAGCAGCAGCAGCGGCAGGTTCAGCAACAAGGCGCAGCAGCAAAAGTCATACAGCTCCAGCAGCAGCAGCCGTGTACATACACCTGAAAGCTGCAGCAAATCTGAAATGCTGGTGCAGCGGGAGACCAACTTGCTGCAGCACAGAGACGCAAGCGAAGGACACCCGGCCAGCTGTTGCTGCTGCTGCTGCTGCTGTTGCTGCCGCTGCTGCTGCTGCTGTTGCTGTTGCTGCTGCTGCT